TTGCCCTCTTTACGAAAAATTAGAAAACGAAAAATCGAGAAAAACGAATGTTAAAAATTGAACTTGAGAAATATTAAATCGCAAATTTGTAAACATTTTTCGGTTTTTCGTTGTTTCAATTTTTCCGTTTTATAATTTTTCGTTTCTTCAATTGTTCGAGTTTTTAATGTCCCGATTTCCTAATTTTACAATTTTTCTGTTTCAATGTTGCAATTTTCCGATTTTCAAAATTTCAGTTTGAGTACATTTATTTAATTTTATGTGGAACAATTAAAAAATGAAAAATTGAAATCTCGGAAAATTCTAAACCGAAAAATTGCAAAATTATTTCGTTTTTTCCATCTCAATTTTTTTATTTTTCAATTTTCCGAATTTTCGAAACTTCAGTTTCAATAAATTTAGTTCTTTTGTAGAAAAATGAAAAATCAAAAAAGTGAAAAATTAAAAATCTAGACAAGAAAAAATTTTAAATCCAAAAGTTCCAAAACTGGAAAGTTAAAAAATTGAAGCCAAAAATGGAATGACTGAAAAATCGAAAATTTGAAAAGTCGAAAATCTAAAAATCGAAAAATTGAGAATTCTAAAAATTGAAAAATCAGATAATTGAAAATCATCAAATGAAAAACCGAAAAATTGGAAACAAAAATTTCAGTTTGAATAAATGTGTCCTTATGTTGAACAATTAAAAAATGAAAAATGAAGAACTTGGAAAATTCTAAACCGAAAAATTGCAAAACTGTTTCGTTTTTTTCCATCTCAATTTTTAATTTCCTTCCTAATTTTTCGATTTTTTGAGGTTTCAATGCTGCAATTTTCCGAATTTTCGAAATTTCACTTTCCATAAATAAATTTGTTCTTTTGTTGAAAAATTAAAAAATGAAAAATCGAGAAAATGAGTAATTAAAAATCTAGAACAAGAAAAAATTTAAAATCCAAGTTCCAAAACTAGGAAGTTAGAAAATTGAAAACTCAAAAAATTGTATAATAGAAAAAATAAAAAAGCCAAAAATAGAATGACTAAAAATTTGAAAATTTGAGAGGTCGAAAAATTAAAACTCGGAAAACTGAAAAATCGAAAAATTAAAATACATTTATAGAAATTAAAAAACCGAAAAATTGGGAATCGAAAATCTAAAAATTTTTAAAAATTCTAAAAATAGAAAAAATAGAGAAGTTAAAAAATTAGTTAATTGATAAATCAACAACTGATAAATCGAAAAATTATAAACACGAAAAATAAAAATAACTAGGAAAAAAAAACGAAAAATTGAAAAACCAGGTAAGCATAGAATGGAAAAATGGTACCGTTAAGCCTGAAAAAATGAAAAAAAAATCGAAAAATTGCAAAACTGAAAATAAAAAAAATAAAAAATCGAAAAATTAAAAATGTAGACACTGAAAAATGAGAAACTAATATCCAGAAGTTACAAAATCGAGAATTGAAAAATCAAAAAATGGTAAAACTGAAAGAACGAAACACTGAAAAGCCGAAAAATTGAGAAACTGAAAAATCGGATAATTGAATTTTCAAGATTCAGTTTCAATAAATTTGTTCTTTTGTTAAAAAATTAAAAATGAAAAATCGAGAAAATGAAAATTTAAAAATCGAGAACAAGAAAAAATTTTGAACCGAAAAATTACAGAACTGGAAAGTTAACAAACTGCAAACTTGGAAAACTGAAAGTTGAAAAATAAAAAAAACTCAAAATCGAAAAAATAAAAAAGCTAAAAATGGAATACGTGTAGAAATTTAAAAATCGAAAGAATAGAGAATTATTCAAAAAACTGAAATGAAAAAATAGAGAAATTGAGAAATCATGGATTGAAAAATAAAAAAATTTGGAAACACGAAAAATAAAAATATCTATAAATTTAAAAATCGAGAAAAATTGTAACATAAAAAACCCGAAAAAAATTGCAGTTAAGTTTACAATTTTCCAATTGCCCGATTTTTCAGTTTCTCTATTTTTTCAATGTTTTAATTTCTAGGTTTTTAAATTTTTGAATTTTTTTAAGATCCAATTTTACAATTTTCGATTTTAATGTCAGTGTGAATAAATTTGCCCTCTTTACGAAAAATTAAAAAATGAAAAATCGAGAAAAACGAATGTTAAAAATTGAACTTGAGAAATATTAAATCGCAAATTTGCAAAAATTTTTCGGTTTTTCGTTGTTTCAATTTTTCCGTTTTATAATTTTTCCTTTCTTCAATTGTTTAGTTTTTAATGTCCCGATATCCTAATGTTACAATTTTTCTGTTTCAATGTTGCAATTTCCCGATTTTTCAATTTTTCGAGTTTCAAAATTTCAGTTTGAATACATTTATTTAATTTTATGTGGAACAATTAACAAATGAAAAATTGAAAACTCAGAAAATTCTAAACCGAAAAATTGCACAATTATTTCATTTTTTCCATCTCAATTTTTAATTTTTCAATTTTCCGAATTTTCGAAACTTCAGTTTCAATAAATTTAGTTCTTTTGTAGAAAAATCAAAAATCAAAAAAGTGAAAAATTAAAAATCTAGAACAAGAAAAGATTTTAAATGCAAAAGTCTTTCGGTTTTTTGTTGTTTCAATTTTTGATTTTCAATTTTTCCGTTTTACAATTTTTCGTTACTTCAATTTCAGTTTGAACAAATTTGTCCTTGCGTTGAACAATTAAAAAATGAAAAATTGAGGACTTGGAAAATTCTAAACCGAAAAATTGCAAAATTGTTTCGTTTTTTTCCATCTCAATTTTTAATTTTTCAATTTTTCGATTTTTCCAGGATTCACTGCCACGATTTTCCGAATTTTCAAGATTCAGTTTCAATAAATTTTTCTTTTGTTAAAAAATTAAGAAATGAAAAATCGAGAAAATGAAAATTTAGAAATCGAGAACAAGAAAAAATTTTAAAGCGAAAAATTACAGATCTGGAAAGTTAAAAAATTGAAAACTTGCAAAAATTGAAAGTTGAAAAATAAAAAAAACGCAAAATCGAAAAAATAGAAAAGTTGAATAAGTAGAATTAAATGAAAAATCGAAAAATTGAGAATTATTCAAAAAACTGAAATGAAAAAATAGAGAAATTGAGAAATCATCGATTGAAAAATAAAAAAATTTGGAAACACGAAAAATAAAAATATCTTAAATTTAAAAATCGAGAAAAATTGTAACATAAAAAACCCGAAAAAAAAATTGCAGTTAAGTTTACAATTTTCCAATTGCCCGATTTTTCAGTTTCTCTATTTTTTCAATGTTTTAATTTCTCGGTTTTTAAATTTTTGAATTTTTTTAGATCCAGTTTTACAATTTTCGATTTTAATGTCAGTTTGAATAAATTTGCCCTCTTTACGAAAAATTAAAAAACGAAAAATCGAGAAAAACGAATGTTAAAAATTGAACTTGAGAAATATTAAATCGCAAATTTGCAAAAATTTTTCGGTTTTTCGTTGTTTCAATTTTTGATTTTCAATTTTTCCGTTTTATAATTGTTCGTTTCTTCAATTGTTCTAGTTTTTAATGTCCCGATTTCCTAATTTTACAATTTTTCTGTTTCAATGTTGCAATTTTCCGATTTTCAAAATTTCAGTTTGAGTACATTTATTTAATTTTATGTGGAACAATTAAAAAATGAAAAATTGAAAACTCAGAAAATTCTAAACCGAAAAATTGCAAAATTATTTCGTTTTTTCCATCTCAATTTTTAATTTTTCAATTTTCCGAATTTTCAAAACTTCAGTTTCAATAAATTTAGTTCTTTTGTAGAAAAATGAAAAATCAAAAAAGTGAAAAATTAAAAATCTAGAACAAGAAAAAATTTTAAATCTAAAAGTTCCAAAACTGGAAAGTTAAAAAATTGAAGCCAAAAATGGAATGACTGAAAAATCGAAAATTTGAAAAGTCGAAAATTTAAAAATCGAAAAACTGAGAATAAAAAATCTAAAAAGCGAAAAGTTGAGAATTCTAAAAATTGACGAAATGGTGAAATTGAAAAATCAGATAATTGAAAATCATCAAATGAAAAATCGAAAAATTGGAAACAAAAATTTCAGTTTGAATAAATTTGTCCTTATGTTGAACAATTAAAAAATTAAAAATGAAGAACTTGGAAAATTCTAAACCGAAAAATTGCAAAACTGTTTCGTTTTTTTTTTCCATCTCAATTTTTAATTTTTCAATTTTCGATTTTTTGAGGTTTCAATGCTGCAATTTTCCGAGTTTTCGAAATCTCAGTTTCAATAAATAAATTTGTTCTTTTGTTGAAAAATCAAAAAATGAAAAATCGAGAAAATCAGTAAAAATCTGGAACAAGAAAAAATTTAAAATCCAAGTTCCAAAACTAGAAAGTTAGAAAATTGAAAACTCAAAAATTGTATAATAGAAAAAATAAAAAGCCAAAAATATAATGACTAAAATTCGAAAATATGAGAAGTCGAAAAATTAAAACTCGGAAAACTGAAAAATCGAAAAATTAAAATACATATATAGAAATTAAAAAGCCGAAAAATTGGGAATCGAAAATCTAAAAATCTTTAAAAATTTTAAAAATCGAAAAAATAGAGAAGTTAAAAAATCAGTTAATTGATAAATCAACAACTGATAAATCGAAAAATTATAAACACGAAAAATAAAAATAACTAGGAAAAAAAACCGAAAAATTGAAAAACCAAGAAAGCATAGAATGGAAAAATGGTACCGTTAAGCCTGAAAAATGAAAAAAAAAATCGAAAAATTGCAAAATTGAAAAAAGAAATAATAAAACTGAAAAATTGTAGCATTAAGCCAGAAAAAATAGTCAAAAATCGAAAAATTTCAAAAACTGAGAAAAGCGATACGGAAGAGGAAAGGATTGCACGTGGAAGAGCAGGTGGTGGTACATGGCGAAAAACAAAGAACTTTAAACAAAAAGAAGTAGCGAATTGTGTTAATATAATCTTATGTAATTTCTTAAAAGTCATTCTTTTCACACATTGTCAAAAATGATACAAAAATGTCATCTCTGACAAACCATCACGATGCAACCCACGGATTCCAGCAGCTCAGAAAGTGTCTACAGCACGATTTTGTATAATCTCGTCCCAGTGGAACCCATTTTAATCAGAGGGAACGGCCATGTGACGCTGTTTGGTCTGAACAACCACTACAGTCCCGTGATTCCCAGCAGACTCCGGACCCGATTGGCCCCCGAAGAGTTCGAAATGACGATTGTTCTCATCAATAAGGTGCTGCGGCGCCAGTTCATCAACAACATATTTTGGTTCCTTTGCGGTTGCATCACCTTTTGCTGCACCCTGGGGTGCTCCATGTGCCCGGTGATCTATTTCAGTAAGCGGACGCTGCGATCGCTGCATAAAACACTCAAATCGGAGAACAATCGCCTGTATAACAAGCTCGGAATGCACTGGTCGCTACATAAGCTGCATTTTGGGCCTTTTAATTTAGTTGAATATATTTTAGTGATTAATTTTTTGCCCCGGCCTGAGATTTATATTCCGGATTAGGGTAATAAATTGAGACAATTCTTAATGGAGTTTTCTTTTAATGCAACGTATGGGAAGAGAAAATACGTTTATGTTTTGTAATTTTCATGAAAAATACATAACCTCACTTTTCGTTCCTACGTTTGTCATCATTGACCTTGACGCTTCCAATGTGTCAGCAGTAGTTCATTTTGTATACATCCTAGAACTACGACGACCTATTCAAACAACTTTTAAAAATAAATACCAGCTTTAAAGCTTAATCTATTTCATATTTCGTTAACTGTGATACCCGTTTTCCAAATTAGTCTTAATAAAAGTTAACATAACTTTTTTTATTTATAGCTATGAAAAGTAGTTCCAATGAGTAGACACAATTGGTCCTTTCTCGAGGATTAATCACCTAATGTGGGTTCTAACCTCACTTTAATGGCGTGTTCTTCGCTATCACGTGTGATTCATTTCTCAACTTTAATTTTAGCGAAAATTGCTGATTACGGCTAAAATAAAGGTAACGTTGCAAAATAAGCACCGCAGACAACCTATTAACAGTTTAATTGTTTAGTTTTAAAAATGGCCACTTCCCTGAGTGAACAATTGAAACGTCTGGCGCTCCCTCAAACCGCCCTTCTACAAAGAGACAAGAAGAAGCCGTCGTTGCTTTTTGAACCTAAAGAAGCGGCTGGACTGAAGCGAGAAACCGTTTACCAGATAGGGCTCGATGGGTTAGAAGAACTAATCACCAAAGATCAATCCTTCGAGCAATTTAAAAACACCCTGTTTCACATCTCGTCAAAGAAGTTTGAACGTGCTGTAGAGACAGCCGAAAGCAACAAAAAACTAGATAAAGTCATCAGGAAGTTTCTCCTACAACTATCTCCCTACTTTTTGTTGAATTGTTCCCATAAGGCATTGGAGTGGCTCATTAACAGGTACTACATTCATGAATACAACCGAGAAGAGTTATTAATGACGATAATGCCCTATCACGAGTCCAACATCTTCGTCCGCGTGATCCAACTGATGAAATTCAAAGACCAGAACGACAGTTGGTTTTTCTTAAAATCGTTGCAAAAATCCGGTGTGCATCTAACCAAACAGAGTCTGCTCACCCATGCAGCAAGCGACGTCTACTTTCTAAAATTTGTGGGAAAGTTTATCACTCTCTTAATTAAGCAGTTTGAGAAACCGTCGCTTCTGACTGTCGCTTTTAATTTCTACTGCGCTGTTTATGCGGGCGCTATTGAGTACTCGGCTGAGTTGAACGAGGCGCAGATCACCCAGATGCTGCCGGCGCTTCTCAGAGGGCTGAATTCCGACATTCCGGATTACTGCGCTGCGTCGTACATTATTTTGGGGCGGTTGGTTTTGAAGACGCCGTTGACGGACGTGATTTTGAATAAGTTCGTTGAGAAGGTGGCTGATGCTAAAGTGGAGAATTTGAAGACTGAGACGGTTTTGGTTTTGTTGGTTTTGTATCAGTCGCAGCCGCACTATAATGGGGTTCCTGAGGAGGCGTGTGGCAGTTTGGTGGGGAAGGAGTGGCTGGCGAAGGTGTTGCAGGAGTTGAGTAAGGAGAAGTACCATGTGGCGCCGTTTTTGAAGGCGTTGGTGAAGGGGTGTGTTTATGGGGGTGTGAAGATGGACCAGGAAGGGCATAGGGAGTTTTTGAAGAAGTTGCTTGCGGCGGTGAAGTTTGATAACGAATTTGTGGAAACGTTTTTGAGGTAAGTTGACAAAATCTAGTCGTTAATACAATTAATATCTACAATAGTTACTCAGTCCATTTATAAAATAAAACTGTTATAATATGGTCCATTTGACTAATGGTTAATTTAATATTTTTTACACGTTTCATTTCCAGAGAATGAAAAATAGATTTCGTGTTTCCATCTATCTGTTTGGATTTTCAACCAATCAAATTGTTTTAGTGGTAATTTCTCCTAGAAAAATAAGAATTTTACAATTAAGCTCCGACCCTCGGCTTATGACGAATAAAAAAAATCATCAGAATTGAGATAGGGCGGGTGGGCGGGGCTTATATATTGCCTTTTTTTTTCTTAATATACATAGCCATCTTTTCACAACAAGAAACATAAAACATGGTTAAAATAGTACATTTTTGCAAGGAAATATTAATTTTGCATTTATGGGGCGGAGCCTAATTGAAAAATTGATATTTCCTTATACAAATTTCCCATTTTAAACATGTTTTAAGTTTTACGTTGTGAAAAAAAGGCTACACATATTAAAACAAAGAGGCAAAATGTAAGCCCGCCCACCCGCCCTATCGCAATTGTGATGTTTTTTATTCGCCATGAGCCAAGGGGGCGGATCTTCACTGCAAAATACTTACAAGAAATCGGAAACAGATTTTTGAGTATCGTGTTATTCAAAGAATTCTATGTATGTTAAGAAAAAAAAAACGCAAAATATAAACCCCGCCCACCCACCCCATCTCGATTGTAATGATTTTTTTATTCTTAGAAACTTAAAACACGTTTAAAATGGTACATTTTTGTAACGAAATATGGATTTTGCAATTAGGCTCCGCCCCTAAGTCTGCGAACGAATGACAACTTCATTACTATTTAGATCAGGGCAGGTGTGGGTGGAGTTTAATCTTTGACTTAATTTTTTTTCATAATATACATAGCATAAACAGATGTCTTATATGGTAATTTTTTGTAGAGAAATAATAAGAATTTTGCAATTAAATTCCGTTCCGTTGGCTATCGACGATAAAAAAAAAATCATCACAATTGAGATAGGGCGGGTGGGCGGGGCTTATATTTTACCTTTTTATTTTTTTGGTTCCCTTTGTTGTTGCTCGCCTTTTTTAACGCATTTTTGTCGTACCTTCTTTTTTTTGACATTTTTTGTTGTGTTTTTTATCATCTTTTTTTTTGCGAATTTTTTGTTGTCTTTTGCCGCATTCCTTTGCCACTTTTTGTAATTTTTTCAAAACGCCTTTTTTGTCCCCGTTATCACCATCTCCTTTTTTGGTTGTCCTTTTTATTTCATTTTTATTGTTTTTTTTTAGTAGCATTTTTTTGTCTACTGTTCCCTTTGTTGCTGTCCCTCTTTTTTTAATCTTTTTTTTTTCTAATTTTTTGTTGCACATTTCCGCATTTTTTGTCGTCTTTTTTTCGCCTTTTTTTGTAATCTTTACTTTGTCACCCTATTTTTGGTTCTTTTTGTTGTCTCTTTCTTGTCGTTTCTTTTTTGCAGTTTTTTTGCCTTAACTTTTTTGTCACCTTTTTTGTCATACTTTTTTTTGTGGACTTTTTTCTTTTTTTTTGTCGCTTTTTTGTACCCTACTTACGTACCTACCCACCTATCCACTTACCTACCTTACCCACCTACCTACTTTATTTCTGATTTTTGTGTTACCCTTTTTTACGCAATTTTTGTGGTCTTTTTTGCCGTCCTTTTTTTTAGCATTTTATGTGAATTTTTTTGCTTTTTTTGTGTGAATTTTTTGGCCTTTTTCTAGCATTATTTAGTCTTATTTTTATTATTGCTGCTTTTTGTAATTTTTTTAAAACGTCTTTTTTGTCACTTTTCGTATCCTTTATTTATCGTATTTTTTCGTCTTTTTTTTTGTCACTTTGTCCTGTATTTATTTATTTTTTTTTTTTCTTTTTTGTTGTCTTTTCTGCCGCCACTTTTTAGGATATTTTCTTTATAACCATTCCTTGACCTCTTTTTTTCTCGTTTTTGGCGCCCCTTTCTGTAGCATTTTTTGTCGCATTTGTTTAGTTTTTTTGTGTAATTTTTTGCTACGTTTTTGGGACTTTTTAAATGCCTTTTTGTCGTTCCTTCTTTTTTTAACATTCTTGGTTGTGTTTTTTTATCATCTTTTTTTTGTGAATTTTTTGTTGTCTTTTGTCGTATTCTTTTGCCACTTTTTGTAATTTTTTTGAACGCCTTCTTTTGTCGCTTCTTTTGTCCCCTTTATTACCATCTTCCTTTTTTATCGCTTTTAGTCTCAATTTTTGGTTGTCCTTTTTATCTCATTTTTATTGTTTTTTTTTGTAGCATTTTTTTTTGTCTACTGTTGTTCCCTTTGTTGCTGTCCCTCTTTTTTTTAATCTTTTTTTTGTGAATTTTTTGTTGTCTTTTGCCACTTTTTGTAATTTTTTTAAACGCCTTCTTTTGTCGCGTCTTTTGTCCCCTTTATTACCATCTCCCTTTTTTATCGCTCTTAGTCTCAATTTTTTGTTGTCCTTTTTATCTCATTTTTATTGTTTTTTTTTTGTAGCATTTTTTTTGTCTACTGTTGTTCCCTTTGTTGCTGTCCCTCTTTTTTTTATCTTTTTTCTAATTTTTTCTTCTCCATTTCCGCATTTTTTGTCGTCTTTTTTTGCCTTTTTTTGTAATCTTTACTTTGTCACCCTATTTTTGGTTCTTTTTGTTGTCTCTTTCTTGTCGTTTCTTTTTTGCAGTTTTTTTGCCTTCCCCTTTTTTTTGTCACCTTTTTGTCATACTTTTTTTGTGGACTTTTTTTGTCGCTTTTTAGTACCCTACTTACTTACCTACCCGCCTATCCACTTACCTACCTTACCCACCTACCTACTTTATTTCTGATTTTTGTGTTACCCTTTTTTTTCGCATTTTTTCTGGTCTTTTTTGCCGTCCTTTTTTTTAGCATTTTTTTGTGTGGATTTTTTGACCTTTTTCTTGCATTATTTAGTCTTATTTTTATGATTGCTGCTTTTTGTAATTTTTTTAAACGTCTTTTTTGTCACTTTGTCCTGTATTTATCTATTTTTTTCTTTCTTTTTTGTTGTCTTTTCTGCCGCCACTTTTTGGGATATTTTCTTTATAACCATTCCTTGACCTCTTTTTTTTTCGTTTTTTGGTGCCCCTTTCTGTAGCATTTTTTGTCGCATTTGTTTAGTTTTTTTTGTGTAATTTTTTGCTAGGTTTTTGGGACTTTTTAAACGCCTTTTTTGACGTCTTTTTTTGTAGAATTTTTTGTTGACTTTTTTTCGCATTGTTTAGTCTTTTTTGTCCTTTTTTGACACTTTTTGTAATCGTTTTAAACCTTTTTTCTTTTTTTGTCGCTGTTTGTGTCCTTTCTTTATCGTATCTTTCGTCTTTTTTTTTCGGATTTTGTATCGTCTCTTTTTGTGATCTTTTCTCTATAACTCTTTTTTGTTGTTTGTTTCTTTTTGCTCTTTTTTGTCTTCATTTTTTTCTCGCCCCCTTTTTGTTGTCTTTGTTTGTCCGTTTTTTGACACCCCCTTTTGTACAATTTTTTTGTAACTTTTGTGCCACTTTTTGTAAATTTTTAAACGCCTTTTTTTGTCAGTTTTTCTCCCTTTTGTGCCTATGTTTCTCAAATTTTTTGTTTTCATTTTTTTGTTGACTTTTCCCCACATTTTTTGTTGTCTTTTTTCTTCGTCTTTATTGTTTTGTTTTGACGTCCTTTTTTGTAATGGATTTTTTTGTGAATTTGACTTTTTTGTCGCATTTTACCACTTTTTGATTTTTTTTAAACTTCTTTTTTCTGTTTTTGTTACTTTTTGAGTCTTTGTTGCCACTTTTTTTCATTCTTTCTTTTGTTCTCTATATTTTTTCGCGTTTTTTGTCGCGTGTTTAGTTTTTTTAAATAATTTTTTGCTACGTTTTTGTAACTTTTTAAACGCCTTTTTGACGTCCTTTTTTGTAGCATTTTTGTTGACTTTTCTCGCATTGTTTAGTCTTTTAATTTTAAGCGTTATTTTGTCTTTTTTTGTGGTATTTTCTGTCGTCCCTTTTTGTAATCTTTTCTTTGTCACCCTTTTTTGTTGTTTTTTTCTTCTCGCTCCTTTTTGTATTTTTTTGTCGCCTCCTGTTTGTCGTCCTTGTTTGTCCTTTTTTCGACAGCCCCTTTTGTAGCATTTTTTTATAACTTTTGTGCCACTTTCTGTAAATTTTTAAACGTCAATTTTTCTCGCATTTGTGCCTTTTGTTGACCTTTTTTTCGCATTTTTTTTTGCCGTTTTTTTTCTTCGTCTTTATTTTTTCTCCCCTTTGTTGTCATGATCTGTTGTCGCTTTGTTTTGACGTCCTTTTTTGTAACAGATTTTTTTGTGAATTTTTAGTTGGCTTTTTTTTTTGTTACATTGTTTAGCCTTTTTTGATTTTATTGAAACGATTTTTTTTTTCACTTTTTTGGGTCTTTTTGTTACCACTTTTTTTTCATCCTTTCTTTTATCCTGTTTTATTTTTAACGCGTTTTTTGTCACTTTTTTGTCGTCTTTTTCTCCCGCCGCTTTTTATTTGTCTCCTTTTTTATCTCCCCTTTTTGACCTTTTTTTGTCAATTTTTACTGTTTTTGACTTTTTTTACTATTCTTACCTTTTTTGGACTTTTTTGTCGTATTTTTCTGACCCCAAGTTAAATTTTATAATTTATCAAAGAAACTAGATTTATTTGATTGCACTCTGGAGCGAGGAAAGTTCTCCCGAAAAAAATTTGGACCATTTTTTTTCGTTTCAAACGATATGTATTTACAGATGTTAATTTCGTTTAATTTTCTTTGCAATTCCTTGCTAATTCTGTTTTGGGAGATTTACTGAACAGATTACTTTAAAATTTACACCTAAAATTTAAAACAATAAAAAAAAGTCTAACTTGCTTTTCCCTTTTTTCAGCCTCCTACTTGACAACACTAAATCCAAGAAACAATACCCCGACCACATCAAGAAATGGCTAACCGACATCATCACCACCATCGAACGCCAATACCCCGACCAATTCGACAACCAAGTCTACAAAATCCTGTCCACCACCCTTCAAGGCAAATTCATCAAAAGACGCCAATCCCTCCAGAAAATCCTCAAAGAAACCATGACCGTCCGCTGCAAATTCGACGTTCTAGACAAACTCTACCACCCAAACCCGACCTTCCGACGCGAAGCGATCCGTTACTTAACCAGCAACTACAACTCGCTCAGAGACCGCGAAAAAGAAATGATCAAAAGCTCCTTCGTCGACCGCTTGAACGACGACGACGTCACCGTAGTCGCCGAAACCTTGGCCCTAATCAAGAACATTTCGGTCCTGAAAGTCGACGCTTTGAAGGGTGTTCTAACCAAGTTGACTTACAAGTGTCAACAGGACTTGAAAACCTGGGGATCCGTGTCAACCGAGGTGGTTTTAATGCTGTGTGCGAACAGCGACCCGAACGACTGGGAGACTTTCGTTGCCGTTTTTCCGTATTTGTTGCCACAGAATGAGGAGCAGCTGGAGGCGGCGCGAGGAATCACGCAGGTTTCGTTCGTTAGAAAGAATTCTCTGTTGAGGAAGATCAACGGGAAGTTGGAGGAGTGCGAGAAGTTCTGTAACAACGTTTTTGATAGCTTGAGGAATGATAGCATCGAGGTGGTTGAAAGCTTTGTGGAGAGTTTGAAGCAAACACCGATGGAAGAGAGATCTGTTTTGAATAAGTACTTGGTGACGTTGATTTTGAGTTGTATTTTACCGAATAATAGCTCGATTGAGACGAATGTGGAGATCGTGGCTATATTTGTCAAGTGTTTGGAGGGGTGTGAAATTAGGTATGAGAAGGGTAACGCTTTGTTTTATAAGCACGTGGCGGTGGCCCGTGCTGGTCGTTTCCATATTGAAGCATTCCTTTTGTGTTTGAAGAATGTGATAGTGAAGACGAAGAAACCCGATATTGATTTAGGTCGTGTCGATTTTCACGAAGATAGCGCTTTTAGTAGGTACTTTATCACTTTGGCTGACGCTCTCTTCAGAAACTCTCCAAACCACAAGAAATATTGTTTGTTTTTCGTCAACTATTTTTGCAAGAGTTTGAGGAGCAAACTTGAGTTTACTTTGAATCTAGTGAGTTGTGGTAGATGCGCAAGCGCAGAGCTTCCCTCAGAGTGTGTAGATTTGATAGTGAGGTTGTTGGAACCGAGCAAATGCTCTCTTTTAACCGATGGCGAAATTCTGCTTCCGTTTGTGCTAGCAATGTTGCTTCACGAATCTGAAACCATCAAGACCAAGATGTTCAAAGTCGTGGAACTCCTAACACAATTGGAAAAACACGGCTACCAACACCTATTTCGCGAATTGTTGAACCAACGTGAAGAAATCATCACCGACAATGATCAACTACCCCTAATTTTGTACAATTATTTGTCTCCTTCGAGCGACAAAAATGAGAAGGTTGTGACAAACACCGAAATCGCGAAGACCCTTCTAGTCAAAGCCAGTTGCAAAGAGAACTATCCTGTCTACCTGAAAGCCAAAATGCTAGAGCTCCTATCGCATATCAACACGGTTGACATCTTCCAAGACGTCGCAGAAGACTGTCTAAACTTGCTCAAAACGGAGTCCACCAGACTAGACGAAACCCAGTCTGCTGTGATTCTTAGAAACATAATGCGTTGCCAGCCGGATTTGGCTCCAGAGATTCGTTTGGACAGTAGCATCTGGAGGTTCATTGATTCTTGTGTCAAGAAAGATAACTTGACTTTGACTATCAACGGCAAGAATAAGTTTGCAGCAATTTTACTACTGGAGCAAATCACTAAAGACTTCTTCGCTTCGTTGACAGACGAAGTTCAACTTAAACTCTTAGATTTGGTTGTGGAAGTGGCTACAGTCACCAGAAACCCCGAAATTCTGCCAAGCGTGAGGCACCTCGTCAAGATCATCGATCTAGACTCTAAATTGATTCTTCCTCATTTTACCGCGTTGAGAGATGTTCAGTCTCCGAAGCTCGACCCTAACAAGTTAAAGAGGCGCATTTCAGTAGTACCGACGACAGATATTTTGGACACTCTTGAATGGCGGAAGGGTTTGACGGCTTTGGAGTTCATTCAAGACAAGAAGAAGATTAGGAATATTGATGTGTTGTTGCCGGTGTTGTTCGAAGTTTTGAAGAAGTGTCTGGATTTTGACGAACAGGCAGCCGTTGAGTACCCCAAACAGCTGATTCTAACCTCAATTCTCGATTTGGGTAACCGAATGGATACTAAGAATCTATCTGAAACTATGTTCAACATGGAGTTGATAGTACAATGTATTAGGGCGTCGCAGAATCCGCAGACGCACTATTGTGCTCTTTTAGTGTTGGCGTTTTCGGCTGAGCTCTTCCCGACTCAAGTTTTACACAACATCATGGCGATTTTTACCTTCATGGGGTCTTCGTTGTTGCGCCATGAAGATGCGTACAGTTTCCAGATTATATCGAGGATTATAGACACTATTATACCGATTTTGGTTAAAGATGGAGATGTGGAAACTATATCTAGGGTACTACGAGTCTTCGTGGATGTTCTATTAGATGTACCGGAGCACCGAAGGATGCCGATATACGAACAACTGTTGACGAAAATCGGAGTCAGTGAACATCTGTATGTCTTTCTGCTTCTGATTTTTGAGTCTCACGTCAATCACACCAGACAGAAGAATAAAGACGACGACATGAAACGACTAGAAATAGCCGCTAGTGTTTGTCGTGAGTTTTCTCCAAAAGTAGTCATCCAGAATTGCATCCATTTGTTGAAATATTTGAAGGAGTTGCCTGACGAAGTGGAAACAGATAACACCACTTCTGGGTTCGGAATTTTGTACAAAACCCCCAAACAGTTCCGTCACTTCAAATATACTTTGATCGTGTTTACGTCGAAGTTGTTAGCTTCTAAGGAGTTTGTTCTACAAGTTGCGGCCCTAACTAACGAGGAGTTGCTAGACCTGGAGCCTCTATACAAAGATACAATCATAAACGTACTAACTTATATCCATAGAGTGTCAAAAATCGCTGAAAAAAATGCAACTACTACGCATGCAAAGTACTGGAAGGTTATTCTTCACCTCAGCTACGATATCCTTGATAGTGTGAACGCGATTTTAACACCACAAATGTTCGTCTTGGTCGTTAAAGGCTTGATGGTTCATAATTTCGCCACGGTACGAAGACGCAGCATGGAGCTCTTGAATTCCAAAGTTCAACACACTCCAACTTTCTTCAGTGAGTGCGCTTCTGAAGAAATCTATGTGTTGGTACCACCCTTGCTCTCCATCATCAGAAACGTCGAAGAAATACCGATGGACAACGAAGAAGAGTTGAATGTTCAAACTGCTCTTCTCTCACTCAAACTTCTGGTGAAATTATTAGTGGCAGAACATACCGAAAAACTGACCGAAATTCTGGACTACCTGACCGACTTGATCAAAAGAGGCAAAGTCCAAAACAACGTTTTAGCGTCAGTTTTGTTGTGCATAGCTGAACTTTGTGCAAACTTGCGTGCACATGCCATTCCAAGTCTTCCGAACTTCATGCCGGCGTTGTTGAAGATTCTGAAGCAGCAGAAAAATCAAGAATCCAGTCTTCTGCTTTTAAGTTCAGTTACGGCAGTCCAGAAGGTGTTAGAAACGTTGCCGCTTTTCCTCAGTCCGTATTTAGAGAAGTTGCTTTACGAACTAGCCGTGCTAGCTACCAAATGGGGTGATGAAGAAAAAACACAACCAGTGGTGAACAAACTTTCCACTTTGCGCCAACAAATCGGCACTTCTATACCCCCAAGAGTCCTAATACCAGCATTGAGCCAAAGCTACAACCACCTCATCACCAAGAACTCCTTCACCGCCATCACCTTCCTAATGGAAGTACTAGGAGAAAATCTGAACCACCTCAGCGGTTCCGAAATCAACGCAAACCTACCCGAACTCACCAGCTTCTTCCTAAACGCTCTGCAATTCCGGACCGACCATGGCACTTCTTTCGAACAAGCCAACGAAGTCGAAGCCGAAATAATCACAGCTCTAAGTAAACTGGTGCTCAAGTTGTCCGAAAGCACGTTCAAGCCTCTATACTACAAACTCTTCGACTGGGCTGCTAGACACGACCAGAAGACTGAAAGACTGATTACGTTTTACGCTTTGTCCAGCAGCATTGCCGAGTCTTTGAAGAGCCTCTTCGTCCTTTTCGCCGGTCATTTCCTCAACAACGCCGCCCAGATTTTGGACGCTTGTAACACCGTCAAAAACGAAACGTCGTATTTCGGTGAAGAAAACAAGGACGTTTTGTTGTTGGAGAACGTCTTGAAGACTCTTCATGCGGTGTTTTTGTACGACAACCACAAGTTCGTGAATAAGGATAGGTTTCAGGTTTTGATGCAACCTTTGGTTGACCAGTTGGAGAATAGCTTGGGCGGGGTTGAGTGTCTTGAAAGGAGGAACGAGGAGGTGGTTACGCCAGCGATTGTGCAGTTTGCTGTAGCCACAGCCGACGATTCGTTGTGGAAGCAGCTGAATTATCAGATTTTGCTCAAAATGAAGCACAATTCGCCCAGTATTAGGCTGATTTCGTTGCATTGTTTGAAGGAGATGGTGCAGAAGTTGGGCGTGGATTATTTACCTTTGTTGCCGGAGACTATTCCGGTTTTGGCGGAGCTGCTGGAGGATGAGGAGGAAAGTGTGGAGAAGGCGTGCAGGAAGGCTGTGCAAGAAATGGAGAAGATTTTAGGGGAACCAATAGAAAAATATTTTAAAATGTAGTTAGATGCATTTTTTATTTAAATATAAATTGTTACGCATCATGGGTTTTTAAAAATAGTAAATTATATAATAAATTATTATTAAATTTGACTGGTTTTTGGCATGTTGGTCCACTCATAAACAATACTCTTATAATCCAACTCACTGAAAAACGTTGTGTTACCTTCCGGATTTTCCAAAACGATAGTACCTTCAGTGTTTCTTTCAACGAAATTACGAACTTCACAAAAAGGTGCGACCGTTTCTCTGGGCAAAACTACGTTCTTGTTACAAGGTACGACAAAAATTGTGCGTCCAGACAAACCCAGTAATTCGCTGTCACCAATCTCTTTCCCATCGCTTTTAACCAACCTGAAGTTGTTCACTCCAAATAAACGAAACACTTCGGAATACAGATTTTTCACTGTAGTGGGAATTTTGGCAACTTCTAACAGAACCAAACCTCTTGAACTATTTCTAGAACAAAATCTAGCTTCAAGATTAACCAGTTCAACATTAGCCCATTTAGTCACAGGAAACACCATATCTCGAAAACGAGTCAAAACTAAATGAAGCTGACAATATTTTAATAAATGTGTATCCTCAATTATAACGTTATCAAAACGTTCTTTCTCATTTAGTGATCTGAAAGGTGCCCTTACACTAGTTTCAATGAATTTACAATAAGACTTCGCTACTCTGTTAATATCACCAGAAGCTGCATAAAACACTGATATTTGATCAGTAGGGACTAAATTTGCCCTTTTGCGCAATTTTTGAATACGATTTACCACCTCTCTGGCAATTCCTTCATCTTGCATCACCGAATCTGGGGCAACATTCATAACAATAACTACGTCGTTGTCACTATTAGCTTCATAGTGACCCGAACTGGTCTCCAACTTCCAGACTAATTTAACTTCAGAAGTTTCAATACGTCGTCCTTTTACCACAATATACCCAACTTTAATCATTTCGTCGATTTCAACACGTGTTAAAGCTCTAATTCCAGTCACCAAAGTTCTAAGTCGTCTTTAAACCGCAGTCCCAAAATTTTAAAGTCGGGTTCTACTTGTAAAGTGAGTCCATATTTCTTCCTGTCACTGATCAGAGTGACAATACGCACGTTTAGCTCAGTACGAATATATTCTTCTAGTAGGTGAAGATCAGCAAGATATTGAGGGTCTTGGTGGATGATTACCACCTCAGGTAATGGATATTTAAGAGCAAGATTTTTCCGATCACGAATCACTCGCCCCAATTCTATAACGCTTCTCATTCTAGATACAGCACGTTCTGTGTCTACATCTATCAAGGTAGTATTTGGGTGTGGTTGTGTTACATAGTGAACACTGTCAACGGATTGTACCAGAAACGCCCTCAAGTGTTGGTAAATGGTTTCCGACACGAATGGTACCAGCGGTGCCATCATCACAACCATAGTTAAAAGTACGTCAAAAAGAGTCCACAAAGCTGCTTTTTGGTCTCCCAGATCCGCGTTATTTCTGAACCGTTTTCTATTTAACCTCACGTACCAGTTAGTGAAATTATCAAAGAATCTGGTTACTCTAGAAACCACATTAAGCCGATAATGACTCATCTCATTATGAAAATACTCCACGAGCGACTGTGTTAAAGAAATAACCCATCGATCCATTAAATTGGTAACAACTTCTCCTTCAGTGTAACAAAATGGCCGCTTGTGTTCTTCCACAAAACCCTCAATATTCAATACAAGAAAACGCAAAGCGCTGTACCACGGTAACACCACATCTTTAAGAACACCACGAACTCCTTCTTCTTTGAATTTTAAATTTTTCCCACAAACCGCTGGAGAATTAATTAAATACAATCGCAACGCATCGGCGCCATACTTGGAAACTACGTCCAAAGGACACGGGTAGTTTTTTTTGCTCTTGGACATCTTCTGGCCGTCACTGGCTAAAATCAACCCATTAACAACCACGTTCTTGTATGGTGCTTTCCCAAAAAGCGCGGTCGATAGAACTAGAAGAGTGTAGAACCAACCTCTAGTCTGATCTACACCTTCAGCTATAAAATCAGCCGGGAAACACTTCTCAAACTCTACTGAATTTTCAAAAGGGTAGTGTTTTTGAGCATAGGGCATCGAACCCGACTCAAACCAACAATCAAAAACTTCTAGGACGCGTCGCAGTGGAGGGTTGTTCGGAATTTTAGACGGAATTTCTAGATGGTCGATCATTTCTCTGTGTAGGTCTGTGATTTTCGTTCTTGTTAGTTCTTCCAGTTCGGCAATGCTGCCAACGCAAATTATTTCTTCTAGGTTTGGTGATGTCCATAGAGGTATAGGTGTGCCCCAGTATCTATTTCTGCTAACAGCCCAGTCTTTAACGTCACGCAACCAGTTACCAAATCGTCCGACTTTGATGTATTCAGGGACCCAATTTGTACCAGAGATCGATTCTTGTAGATCTTTGGACATGTGTTCGACGCGAATGAACCACGAAGGTACAGACCGGTAGATCAAGGGAGTGTCAGAACGCCAACAGAAAGGGTAACTGTGTTTGATTTGGGACTGGTGTACCAAAATACCCCGACTTTTCAAATTTGCGATTATTTTTTTGTCGGCGTTTTTGACAAACAATCCTTCGAAATCCACAGCCGGTTGGATAAATCTACCACTGGAATCAATGGGACATACTTGTACTTGATCTTTAGTGATGATACCAGCGGCAAGACAAACGCGATGATCGTCTTCACCAAAGTATGGAGCTAGATGAACTATTCCGGTACCGGATTGGTCGGTGACGTAATCGTCAGTCAAAACTTGGAACCCTTTTAGATGACCAAAGTAACCAAAAGGTGGTTGATATCGCAACCCTTTTAGTTGCTTTCCAGGAAAAGTACCCAAGATTGAATAATCACCACCACTACTAAATAGTGTAGAAAGTCTACTTTCAAGCACGATATAGAACTTTCCGGAACCACACAGTTCCAACTTTACATAAATCAGATCAGGATTAACACACACTGCTAAATTACTGGGTAAAGTCCACGGTGTTGTGGTCCACACCAAAAGCGAAGTATCGTCTTCACTGTCAACTAGAGGGAAACTCACTGTCACCGCTACATCAACGACATCTTTGTAATTTTGTGTGGACTCGAAATTCGACAAAGGTGTGTGACACGTGGTACAATATGGCATGATTTTGTCTCCTTGGTACACAAGTCCTTTTAAATATAGCTGTTTGAAGACCCACCACACTGATTCCATGAATGATGGGTCTAGAGTTTTGTAGTCGTTTTTGAAGTCAACCCATCTACCCAGACGGGTCATGGTCATCTCCCATTCTTTGGAGTACGTCATGACAATCTTTCGACACTCGGCGTTGTATTTGTCGATTCCCATTTTCGCGACGTCGTCTGGTCCTTTGATTTTTAGGGTTTTGTCGATTTCGTGTTCTACTGGCAGGCCGTGACAGTCCCACCCGAAGCGCCTTTCGACGTGGAAACCCTGTTAATTGCAACACATTGTTAATTTAAATAAATTTTTCAACTAATCTCAAAATTTTATTGTTTAATTTTTATATCATCGAAAAAAATCGTCTAGTCAGGCATGGAATTAATTCAATTCGTTTTTGAAGTTATGGGAAATTGTTCGTCACATTTTTCGAAGTATCGTTTTCGATAATGAAGAAATGTCTCGGTCGGTCGATTCAGAAGAATTTTTATAATTCGCAAAATATGTGTAGGGGGAGATAAGTTTGCGGTTTTCTCGTCAATTGAAGAGGTTCTGGAAAAATAACCACAGAAGCGCAGTCCTGAGAAAATTCCCGATTAGATAGACACTTTTCGGTAATAACGTTGGATAATTATGTGATAAACCAAACTTCCCGTCAAAATGAGACGTGAACAAATTATCAAAAGTAGTTGGATTTTAAAAAAATATATTATTCTAGATTCCATTATTTTTCAACATAAAATCCAACTTCCGTCTCAAAACATTAATAAGAATGAGTGATCAAAACGGAATAAAAAAGCTTTAATCGTAATTTTTTTGTTCTTGTTATTATTTACTATAAAATTTACATATTTTTTATTTCAGAAGAAAAAAATGAGAGAACGGGTGGGTGGGCGGGGCTAAGTTTTAACTTTTTTCACCCAGAATCTTTTATAAGCAAGTGAGTAACCCATACGACAGTCATATTTTTTTTTGATAATTGAAAACTTAAAAAATAAATAGATTATGCAACTAAATATACATTTTTGTAATCAAATATCTCCCATTCTCCTATTTGAAAGTCCAAAACTAACAAATTACAATCAAAATAGATCAATAAAAATGTGTATGGGAGACAAGGGAAGAAAATTCTGTAAATTGCTAATACATTTGAAAGAAATATAAAATTTTATTAAAAAAAAAACAACTCAACTTTATGATAATTTATGATTAAGTTTGTGTAGCGAGATTTATCAGCAGATATTCTGAATTTAAATTCTGCAAAATTAGTGGAAGGGTGAATTTTTTCAGCGATCTTCACTTTATTTTATGTGGAGTGTGGTGTCCCAGAGCGAATTCAAATTTCGCGCTAAGAGAAGAAAGTAGTCTTTAAGTTGGTAGTTGATGAGGGGTTGGTAATGGTAATGGGAGAATAGTATCGTTTTTTGTTTATTATTGCTAAATAAATAAAAAAGTTCCATATTTATGTCTAGGGACATTGATATGAAATATTTGAATTCTGGCACTTTTGCAGATTTTGCTTGTTTAAAATTGCTCTTTCGATGGAACTACTGAAATAAGAAATAAATTAGATTAGAATTTGTTTTACTTTTTTGACAACCTATGTTCTATTAGTTCCAACTCCCACTCTACAAAAGAACCTGTAATTAAACCCCGCCTACATTTCAGTGATTCATTTATCTACTGTGAATGTGGATTTTATACTAAACAGAAATTAAATTAGTCGTTAGAATGACAAGAGGGGGAGTGAGCCAGGCTAGTACTTGCTAAGATAAGACTGATTTTGGTAAATGACACATCCTCTAAGAAAACAAAGGTGGGGGGGGGGGGAGCTAGTACTTACTAAGATAAGACTGATTGTAGCAAATAACATACCTTCCAATAAAAT